CTTTTCATGTTAATGTATTTTATTAAAGACAAAATACTTTTTAATAATTCAAATGAATGGGAAGTAAATAATGAAGAATTAAATAATGAAGAATTAAATAATGAAGAATGTAATATAATAAAATTGAATATTCTTAATATTGCATTAAAAAAAAGTTTGAGTATTTAGTTGATACATACTGTTATGGTAAAATTAATATGTTTAAAAATTCAAAAACATTTAAGATTGAAGATTTAGATCCAAAATTTTTAATATCACTTTCTACTCTTGTTATAGAAAAATATGAAAAGAATAAGAATTTTTTTGATATAATAAAAGATAAAGGAAAGTTATTAAACAAGTTAGATTCATTGTTTATTAAAAAATTCATAGGTGATTATTTAGAAGATTTTAAAAATATTGGAATTGACTATATGAAAATAATTCTAAATGAAAATGATGTAATTAAAAGACAATATAACACTAAATTAATCATTTTATTTAGCTTTTATAATTTCTTTAAGAATAATAAAAATATAATGAAACTAAAGAAATATGTTCAATTAGTAAAAGAGGGAATTAAAAATCAAACTTTTACTTCTCAGATTGATATGTTTTTTAAAAAATCAAATGAAAAATTGAAGGATCAAGAAAACATAGAAATATATTTTAATCTACTATTAGAATTAATTGAATCACAAATTTATAATTTTATAGCTTTTAAAATGGATGTGAAAAATGGTGATAAACTTTATTCAAATTTAAGAAATATTTTAGAATATAAAAAGTTAGAAAAAGAGGAAATAAGTAAAATTATAAAAGCTTTAAACGAACGAGGACCACATTCAAAATTATCTGCTTACAGATGTTTAGTATTTCCAAAAGTTAAGTTTATTGAACTTAGCTTTTCATCCCTTTTAAAAACAATAAAGGTAATAAAAGAAAACCCATTTAAGTATGAAATTTTTAAAAGCAGAATGATAATAAAACTTTGCCAGCTACACAATTTAGAACGTTTAACCTTTTATAAAAAACATTATCATGTGTTCTTTGATGATTTTTTATTTATTTATTCTTTTTTTAATCTAATAAGTAAGGATTGTCATGATGAAAAAATATTTAATTGGATTTGTAACTTTATTGATAGAAATTAAATCTTTTAATAACAATATATTTAAATATTTTGTAAATTTTAAATTATAAACACACCTTTCTATTTATAAATTCAAAACAAGATAAAAATAAAATATTCTTAATTTAGAAATTAAAAATGATTGCTAAAAATTTTATAAGATTAATACTTAAAGTAATTTATGGTTTCATACAGTTGTTTATGGTACTATTAGGAATAGTTTTAATCTTTGCTTTATGGTCAATTTATATTGCAATCCAATCACCACTAAATTTACACTATAAATCACTACAATTCATATCATCAATATGTTTAATTTTAATAATCAATGGAATAGCAGGATTTAGAACAATTTTTAAGAGAAGTAAATTCCGAGTCTGTATCTATATCTTTACACTAGTGGCACTAATAAACTTACAATTCATCCAGTTACTAAAGAATAATGAATTTGTGGAAAAGAATTATGATTGGACAAATATAAAATGGGGACTTTTAAATGATAATCAAAGAAGTCATTTACAAACAGCATTTGGGTGTTGTGGATTTAATAATCCCTCAGATAGACCAGGATCAAAATGTGTATCAACAGAAGGTTGCGTTAAAAAATTTTTAAATGTCGGTTATAATTTAAGAAAGAAAAGCAATGCAATAATTTTTATTCTTTATTTTCTAGAAAGTTTAGGTCTTTGTATCATCTCTTATTTAAAATTTATTCGTCAATAAATAAAATTTCATTGATTTTTTATTCAAAAATGTTAAACAAAGAAATAGTTTCATTGATAGAAAAAGAAGATATTTATTCATTATTTTGTACCGAGACAGCATCATATGGAAATGTATTAGATAATTTAAATAACATAGAAGATCCAATGATACTACATGAAAAGATTAAGGAGTATTTTATAAACATAATGCAACAAACTAGAGAAACATCTGCTTATCATGTAGAGAGTAAAAGAATACTTTTAAGTGTAGATAATTTCTTGTATTCAAGTGGTATAATATCTCAACTACCTGAGTATTCTGATATTATAAAAAAAGAAGTTAATTATGTTCCACCTGAAATAAATCCATCCAATCCTGATGGTCTTACAGGAGAAAAGCTAGATGAGGATTATTTGAAATTCAATGACAATCAAAACAATTTTATTGGACTTAATGAGTTTAGTTTTATGAATCAAAGACCAAATGCAATTGATGAGAATATTACTTTTAATGAGGGTCATTTAAATATGAACGAAGGTATCATTAATTACAATGAAACATTACCATGTCATAAAGGACCTTTTGTTGACATGATTTTAGATAGTAATTCATCTGTGTTTAAATCTGATTCAACTCCATTAATAGATATTTATTTAGAAAGTTTAAAAAGATTTTCTATTGATATCAAAATAGAATCATTACACAGACATATTAAATATTTAGAAACTAGTGAAGAACCACCAAAAGAATAAACTAACTAATTCAGAATTTTATTATAAAACTTCAGTTGGGTTAATTTTTTGATGAGGTTTACCAATTTCAATTAAAAATATTTCTAAGTCTTCTGGTTTTAAAACATTAACTTCATCATTTTCAGGATGAGCATTTTTCATAGCTTTTAATCCTATTTGTATTAGTTCTTCACTTGTACAATTTGGATCTATGAAGTTTTCTAAGTCATCTTCTAATACGGTTTTACAACTATAATTTCTACTGCCAATTGCACATCCATAAACCTCTTTAGCTGTTTTATTAGGCTTAGACTCAACTAATACTATTTTATCTTCAAATTCTGTTAATAGAATGCCTGATGCTCCACAGAGTCTTGAATCTCCAACTAGTGATGAGTATGACATTCCATATGTAAAATCTTCAAATACTTGTACTGGGTGCATTTTCCTATTTCTCTCTACTGTTTCATAAAGATGTTTATTTTCGAGATAATCTACCATACAAAGACCATCATTTGTAATACCAGCAAATGCAAAGAGTGTTGATGGTTCAATTTCAAAGATTTTCTTACTTGGTTCTGCGAGTTTAGATCTTAGTGGATTGTGTGCTATAATTACTCCTGCGTTATTATTCTTAAGTGCTAAGCATGTACTTCCTAATTCACTAGCTGTCTGTGCTCGTTCAAGTTGTCCCGGTTTTCCTTCTGGACTGTAACAATTCATCTCTGCATAATCAAATTTCATCTTAATTGAGGGTTAAAATTTAATATGTGAAGACAATAAATTTATTAAAAAATCATTGTTTCTTTATAAATAAAATTTATTTTGTTATTCTTTTCTTTAAAAAATATATAAAGAAATATTTATTAATGTTTTATTGTTATAATTAATATTTTATTTATTTTTTAAATAATTACGGTCATATCCGAAGTAAAGCTTCTGAACCCATTAGATCTCAGTAAATAAACCTTCGAGAGCTCATTCAAGTACTATCCGGGAAAGTTGAGTACTGTAATTTTTTTTAAAAAATTATTTTACATATCAAATTTAAATTAATAATATTACATATTGGGACAATTGATAGATTTTAATTGAAGTTGATATGTTAACTAAAAATTAATTATTTATAGATAGAAAAAATGAACGTGTTTTTTCTTTTAAACAGATTTTATATTGAAAAACATTTTAAATTTATAATAATCAAATTTTGTATCAAATTATTTGTTAAAATAATAAGTTGTTTAAATAATTCAAAATATAAACTTAATTATTCTTTCTAACTAACTAACTAAAATTTATTTAACCAATAAAAAATTAATAAATTTTACTTGATAGAATTTTTAAATAAAATTTTTATAGAAATTCATTATAAAAATTTTTATAAAAAACTTTTCAAAATAAGAATATTATAATTGAATTTTAATTTTAATAAAAAGTATAGCTGAATTAAAATACACATAACAAACTCTATTAAAATAGTTATTTTAAATAAATGTTTAAAAGTGATAAGATAAACGAAATGATTTTTACCCCTTCATTATTTCAGATGAGAGAAAAAACACAATTATTTGAAAAAGATATCATCTGTAGTGATTTAAGAATTATAAAACGTAACTTAGTTTATGTATCAGGAATAACAAACGAATATGCGAATACAAATTTATTCAGTAGCTTCCGGTTCTTTGGGAAATTCGGGAACATAAAAAAATTAATTGTTAACACAAGGATAAGATTGAACGAGTCAATACATCTGATATACATAACATATATTGGAGAAGTGGAGGCAAAAAGATGTATAAGAGAAACAGATGGGTCAATTTTGGGAGGAAAAGTAATAAGATGTACATATGGAACATCTAAATATTGTACATTTTTCCTAAAAGGGGTACCCTGTCAAAACACAGATTGTATGTATTTACATGAGTTTGCAGCGAAAGAGGATATACTTTCAAAGGAAGATTTAGGACACATGAGAACAGAACTACATGATTTTGAAACAATAAACCATGGCAAAGTAGTCTTGGGATTGGATGATAAATATGAGTTTTTAGATGAGTTATTAAGATATAAAAAGGAAGCGAGTTTTGAACCCCCCTCAAGAATAACATTTAAACCACTTTATTTAGAGAACGAAATACCCGAAGAATAAAAAATTAGTTAAATCACTATTTGATATTTTGTTAAGAATTCAACTTTTTAATGAGAATTGTTTTAGCCTCATCTTCACCTAAAACTTCACTTGAAATAAACCAAATATAATCAAAGTTTTCAATAAGAAATAAGGATTCGTTGTGTTTCTTAATAACTTTTATATCAAAAATAGTTGGCAAAAACTGTTTTAAATCATAAAATTGTATATTACCAGTAACAATCAGTTTAAATAAAGTATTTTCAGACTTTTTAAGTTTATAAGACTCTTTTTTAACAAAAATTCTCTCATCTCTACATATAAAGAAAGCTGGTAATTGAAAATTACCACTATATTCAAAACAGATGTCAAACGAAATCAATAAGCTGGTATTTTTACAGTAAGCTATTATAAAACCATTTTTTAATCTTTTGGATATTTCATACATCTATTTATGTAAAATAGTTTTTTTAAATAAATAAACTTAAATCTTTTAATAAAAAACTTTGAAAGTTATTTTAATTAAAGTTAGTTAGTTTTAATTGGTTAAATAAATTTTTAATAAAAATTTTAATAAACCCCTTATTAGAGATGCAACAAATCTTGTATTTATTATTTAATTTCATTAAAGTTGTAAAAACAACAGTTGAGTATAATGGGACAGAATACGCTAAAGTTGATCGTAAAGAGGTCACTGGATTATCTCCAAGTACACGATATACTTTCAAAGTAAGTGTTGATCCAAATAATGAGGATAAAAAATATCTATTAAATATTAAAATAGGTGGAAAAGAAGCAATTAGTAGATTTATTGCTGATGTATTGGAAGTTAGGATTTTTAAAAAGAATTCAACTACTAAAGTTTATGAATTTAATGATAATTTAAAATTAACAAGTAAAGATATCAAATTTGTTGATTCTGGAAATTTTTCGTCTGAAAAGTTTAACGTTGCTAAAGAAACAGTCAGAACATTACATTTGTTGTTTACTAAAATTGATGATGGTGATGATTCTCGTTCAAAAAAATTACTTGCAAAACCATTAACTTGTGATGAATTGCTTGAAAAATTGAAGGAAATAAGTAATTTTGATACTTATTTTGAATTTCAAAAATCATGTACTGATATTAAATATCTTAAATTTAAAGATGCTAATGGTACAGTACAACTTTCGAATGAAGATAAATATGCGTTAAAACAAAATAATCAAAATGATTTTAATGATTATAAATATTTTGTTGCTAACGTTAGATTTATTGCAGATATGGTTATGAAAGATTTTAAATGTGTTACTATAAACGTTACAGGTTTAATTAATAAAATGAAAAATGATCAAACTACTGATAATAAAGTTGAATTTATTTTTGAAGTAGTTCCAACAACTTATCCATTTACTCCTAATGAGCAAGTTCAATCAAATGAATTTAAATTAGAAAATGAAATCATTAAGTCAACTTCAGAACCAAGCTTTTTATTAAGACATAAAACACTCTTTATTGTTATTATTGCAGCTATTGTATTAATTCTAACAATTGTTTTCATTGACCCAGTTAAGAAAGTAAAAAAGAAGGCTGAATAAAAGACTTTATTATTACTCTTGTACCATTTTTCTTTCTCGTACTTCATCATTGTCTGATGATTCTTCATTGCTTTCTGATGATTCTGATAAAATCTCTTCTACCTCTTTCTCTTCAGGTTCTTTAACTTCTGCTTGTCTTTCATTAGAACTTGCAATATTAGTTGGTCCTATCTTTTTACCGAAAATATCATTATCTTCAAAAGGTCTCACTAAATACTGTCCATAGACATACTCTCTTACCAACCCATTAAATAATATCGGTTTAAGAATGTTAAAGGCACTAGATACTAATGATGTTAAGTTTCTAAACTTATAAAACATTCCTAAATTGATAAGTAATCCAAATACTTCTCCCTTAAGATTCTTATTACACTCCTCCAAATCATAGTCAATGTACTTCATTTCAATCTCTTCTGTTACTCCAAATGACACTGTCTTATTAGTCTTAAATGATGTCTGATTATTTCTCTTTAAAATCTTTGATCTGATGTACATGAAAAGAACAAATGTTAGTATTTTAGAAATCAAATAAACAGCTAGTATTTGAACTGTAAATCTCTCCTTATCTTTCAACATATTCTTACCTGGTCCTATTGATAATGCATTTATCAAAAAACCAAATAACTGTTCTGCAAATGTTATTGTAATTCCCATTGGGGTTAAAAATTTTGATAAAATTTATTAAATTCTTTTCAAATAAAAATCCCCCTAAAATTGATGGCTCAGAATGAGATTAATGGGGGTGATATAGAGATTCAGTTAGATTTTAAAAAGATTAAAGGAAATAAAAAGACTATTGTCAGGGGTATTCCAAGAGACAAATTATTGCCAATACTTGGTATGTTTAAGAATGATCTTGGTTGTAATGGAAATGTCTGTGATGATCCAAAAAGTGATTCTGTTTTACAACTCACTGGTGATCAACGTAAAACAATTGACAACAGATATAACAGTTATTTTAAACGAATTGATAAAAATTAAAACAATAAATTTTATTCAATTAACATTGGTTCAATTATTTTCTTAGCTTTTTCAGTCAAAATTGTTTCCTTCTGCTTAAAATCAAACCATCCAATTTTCTCTAAATTCTTGATTGCTGCTTCTAAAAGAAATGTTGATGCTTTTGCAAACTTAGTTGGTCTAACTCCTCTATTCTTTCTGTTTCCATAACGGTATGCTAGTCCTGTTAAACTTACTCTTTTTTTACAGATTGCTTGTCTTACTATTGAAGCCATTCTTACAAAAAATGCATCTTTATCATCTGGAACATATTGCTTACCATGCCCACTCTTTAAAAATTGAATATTTTTAGGTAATTCAATGTTTGAATCTTCTTTTAATAAATTCTTTATTTGTTCTAATAACTTTTCTGTATCAACTCTGTATACTTTGTCGTGAATATCCATTTGTTAGGGGTTAAAAATTTTATTAAAAATTTTTTTGATCTAACAGACTTTACATTTTATTTTAAATTAGAATAGAAAATAAAATTTATAAATAAATATCAATTTAATTCTTTTAATAATTATCTTCTTGAGGATAAATCTTTTTAAAAAGAAACTCTTGTTTATTCTTTAAAAAAATAGCTAATAACCCTTCAGCAAATTCTAAGAAGCTTATTGTCTTTTTACTATCTAAATTTTTTTTACTTTTGATACTTAATATTAAATAATCTAACATATAAGATTTTTTAATTATCGATTGTTTAGTTTCTTGTGAATTATATTCAAATTTCAAACCATAAAAACAACAAATTAAATCACTAATCTCATTTACAATACTTAAAAATTCTGAATCATTTCTAAAACCATACTTTTTTAAAAATTGTTTGTTAAATTGATCAGTGAATTCTAAATCATTTTCACTTTGAATTGTGTCATTTAATAGTTCATAAATAAACCTAAAATCATCTTTATTATTTACAAACGCCTTGATTATTGCAGCATCTTGATAAAAACACTTTAAATCACAAAGAATTTCATAAATCTCATCATTATCTTCTGTTTTTTCTAAAACACAATTTATTGATAATTTCATATCAAAATTTGCTGAACCTTTAATTAATCTTAAAAATTCACTATTTATACTTTTGGAGATTTTAGCAATTTTATCATCAAAATACTTTAAAATATCTTCTAAATTATTATATTCCTTAAAAATATTTTCTGATGCTTCTTTAACATTTTCTAATTCCCTTTTAGAAAGATTTGTCTTATTAATTAAAAAATATGAATAAAAATCTTCAATAAAATTATCGAAACTTAAAACAATATCTTTATGTTTTAAAATTGATTCTTCTATTAAACACATCTCTTTTTTTTCACGAAAAAGATTTTCTAGTTTTTTTAGATGTGCTTGATGGTTGTATACATAAGCTTCCTCTTGTATATTTACTTCATTAATTGATTGATCACTCCAATCATCATTGGTACTAAGTATTAAATTTGGAAAGTAAAAAGCAATTTTCATGGGCTTTAAAAATTCAAACAAATTATTTTAGAAGAATCATAGTTTAATTGTTAATAAAAACATAATTATTGGACTGTTCTTCATCCACATGTTTTAGAGTCTCTTCTGACTCGTTAAAACTCTTATTTAAATTATTATAAATCCATCAGAGTCTCTAATTCGGATTTTGTCTTTAGTTAACAATGATCAATTTTTTTAATTTATAATTACTTTTTAATTTGATTATAAGTTGATTTAAAAACATTAATAAACAAATTGATCTTAAAATTTAAATAGAAAGAGATTTTTAAATATAAGTTAAGTTATAAATAAAAATTGAATTAAATATAAATAATGATTTTGTCGTGCCTACTTAACTAGCGATTTTAAAAAGGTTGAAAATTTACTTCTCATTTTACTTTCCTTTCCTTTTAAAATAATTTATATATAATTAAAAAAGTTGTTTTAAGAACTAATAAAATGGTTGATGTCAATTGTCAGTAACATCAGTTACGACAGATTTATATTTAAAACTTTAATAAAAATAATATTTATTTGAAAGATTTTAAATTTTTTTCTTATAAAATAAATTTATTAACATTTTATACTTTAAAATAATTGATTAATAATAAAAATGTTATATTTAACAAATTTTAATAAAATATTATGACATGGTTTATTTATAAGAATTAAATTAAACATTTAATATCATTTTTGAATAAAAAAATAACGTTTTTTAATAAATTCTTTTATTAATTATTTTCTTCTAAAGAATAATTCCTAAAAAGAAAATCTACTTCTTTTTTTTCAAAAAGAGCTTTTAATCCTTCAGTAAATGTTATGAATTTCTTTTCTTCATCCTTTGTAACATTTTTTAATAATTTATAACTTGTGAGCAATTTATCAGCTTCAATACATCTTTTCATTATTATTTTCTGACGTTCGTCATAACTTTCATAACACAATAAAACATTTTTAAACGCAATGAAAGAATCATAAATTAAATTAGCTAATGCAACTGCAATATCAGGATTTATTTCTGAATATTTTGATATGATTGATCTTTTAATATTATTATGAGACACAACATCTTGATGTTCTTCTACCTTATTTTCAAAAGAATGACGTATTAAATCATAAACAAATACCAAATCTTCATCACATTCATTAAACATATTAATAATTGTTAAATCTTGAAATAAATTCTTTAAATCTAATAAATAAGGTAATATTCTTTCATGTTCCATTATTTTCACTATAACATTATTTAAAAATACTTTCATATCTACCTTTTCATTGATTTTAATAAGTTTTAAGAATTGTTTTTCCACCTTTTTTATAGAAATTTCTATAATAGTCTTAAATAAGTGTAAAAAAAGCCTATAATTAGATCTAGTCTCCAAACGATTACAAATAAAATTCCTATAAATCAAAATTAAACCTTTTTCAGAAATCTCAACATCATTTTCTAATTTATTTCCTTTAAATCTTTGATTGATAGATTTAAAAAATTCTTCAACATTTTCTTTGTGTTCATCAATTAACATTTTTAATTCAATAAACTCTTTATTATTATAATGAATATTTATTAGAGTATCTGCATATTTGTTATATATATCTGATTGGGTATTTTCTATAACATTTACTTCTTCACTTAATGTATCAGAACTTTCTTGATAAGTACATCCTATTAAAATTGGAAAATAAAATTCTAGTTTCATGGGGATAAAAAAATATTTTATAAAAAATAATTTTTAATTTATCATTGTCGTATGATGTCTGTAAGATCAGGGACATATCTGAAACTACGTTTCAGATAAGATATAAAAAGAAATTTCAAATAAATTTTATGAAACAAAAGATTTCAAAGACTAACAAAGCTAGCAAAGAGGCACATAAACCCTCAGGGTACATCAATTTAAATTTAAAATCAACACCCGAATGGTGAGATAATTCCACCACAAACTGTAATGTTCAGGACAAAATTTGAGGATGGTGAAGAGGGTCCACAGATAACTATGAGAAAAATCCTTAATTTGGAAAATAAAAATTTTGTGTTAGCCTGGATTAAACAGTTCAAAGAAACTGAATTAAGTTGTAAATAGACCAAGACAAAGGCATTAGAAGCACTCAGATTATTAATAGGAGATGAACTAAAAGAAGAATTATTGGAGATAGAAGATGTTGACATAGCCTTAAATGATCTCAGGCTACTTGCTTTTCCAACCAGAGACCTTAAAATTTATCAAAATAAACTCAGCAAAATAAGGAAAATTAAGTTTCCATCTTATATGGCATATTATAAGGAATTAATAAATTTAAAAAATAAGGTAAATGCATGTTTAAAAGATGAAGATCATTTAGCAGACGAATCATTATTTCAACATTTTCAGTATGAGTTACCTAAAGAGGATCAAAGAGAACTTTTACGAGCAAAATGCTCCACAATCAAGGAAGCATTAAGTCTTTTTGAAACATTTGAACAAATAGAAACTGTATTCCAAAATAAGAAATTTAAGTCAAACGAATACACAAAAAAACCTTATTGCAAGATGCATAAAACCTCATCCTATAACAATGAACAATGTTATGCACAGAATAAGTCTAATAAGAAAGGATTTAATTATCAAACCAGATATTACAAAAATTGATTTTATTAAGTCAAATTTTACACCCAAAACTAAAAAACAATTGCAACGATTATTAGGTGCTATTAATTGGTTTCGACCATTTATAATGCATTTTAGTGATAAAATATCTACTATTACTGATAAATTAAAAGGAAGCAAAAAATTTGTATGGAGTCGAGAGGATACTGATATTATTGAAAGTATAATAAAAGATATAGAAAAACAAACATTACTATATCACCCAAATTATTCTATGCCGTTTGAATTAAGAACAGATGCTTCAAACGTTGCAATTAGTGCAATACTAACGCAAGATAACAAATTAGTTGGTATTTATTCTAAAAAACTTTCTGAATCTGAATTAAAATATTCCACAGTGGAAAAAGAATTTTAAGCCATTCTTAGAGGACTTCAAAAATTTAGAAACATTGTTCTATTATCACATGTAAAAATATTTACTGATTCAAGGAACTTGATATTTACTGGGAAATTAACAGGACCAAGAGTCCAAAAGTGGAAATTGCTTATGGAAGAATACGACTACAATATATTATATGTCTCTGGAATAAATAACACAGGACCAGATTATTTTTCTAGATTGTGTAATTTATCTGATGAAAATTCTGATGATCTTTTAACAAGGGTTAAAAAATGGCAAAAATTTTTAAGTGAAAAAGAACTTAAATTGTCTAAAAAAATTATTAAAAATGGCAAAAGTATTTATTGTGATAAAGATGATCGTATTTTAATACCTGAAGATAAACAATTGAAGTTGTTTATGAATTGCATACTGACCTATGCCATGTAGGTATTACTAATTTAATTAACTCGTATAAAAATTTTTATAATATTAAAGAATTTAGTCGTATAGCTGAAGAGGTGGTAAGGCAATGTGAATTGTGCCAAGTAAACAAACCAACAGTTTACAAATACGGCAAGATAGAAGGATGTATAGGAGTTAAAACAATATTACAAGATTTTTGTACTGATATTGTAGGACCATATGAAGCTACAAATTTCATATCAAATAAGAAATTTTCCAAGTTTTGGATACTAACTTTTTTAGATAGAGGAAGTAGGTTTGCTAAGATCAAAGTTATTTTGAATTTAAAAGCTTCAACAGTTGCAGAAATAATAGAGAAATATTTTATTGAATTAAGAACAGTAAAGTCTATTCTGTCAGATAAAGAAACCCAGTACACCAGTGATATTTATAAATGGGTATGTAGGAAACACCATGTAGACATAAGATATGCTACAGCATACAATGCTACGGGAAATTCTATGGCTGAACGAATTAATCAGACTATTACAACGGTTCTTAAATGCTTCAAAGATGAAGACATTGATACAGTAGAGTATAAGATTAATTTTAGATTAACTAACTCTCATCACAGGACTATGAACTGTAGCACTAACGAGTTAGTTAGAGGTTTTTGAGAATTAGATCCTTTACAACGGTCAATAGTGATTGATACTGCAGAACCTTTTCAAAGGATTGAAACTCAACAAAAATCTGATAATTTGAAATTAAATAATAAACGTTTGAAATATAACTATGCTACTGGAGACTTAGTGTTATTAAGAAATTATTTAAATAAAGGGAAGTTTGAACCTAATTTTTTAGGTCCATATGAAGTTGTTGAAGTGTCTACAAATACTATTAAGATTAGAAAGGAAGGTAAAGTTGAGGAAGTTAATATTAAAAGAGTCAATCCTTTAAAGGGGTGGTAAGATGTCGTATGATTTTGTAACATCAGAGACATATCTGAAACTACGTTTCAGATAAAATATAAAAAGAAATTTCAAATAAATTTTATGAAACAAAAGATTTCAAAGACTAACAAAGCTAACAAAGAGGCACGTACACCCTCAGGGTACGTCAATCATATTTGAATGATTAGAAAATAAAAAAAATTATTTTCAAAATTAAACAAAATTTATAAATATTGCTAGATGAATGTGTAAATCAATGATGGTGCTACTTAGGCTTAAAAATAAGTAATATTAAATATTTTTAAAATAATTTAACTCATCAAAAATTAATAAAATGATTAATAATAAAAGAGATTTTAAAATAGATAATATAAAAGAGTTAGAAACTTAACAAATGAGAGGTGAAGCTTTAGCAGAGATCAAAAGGTATTTCATAGATAACAGATAGTATAACAAAATTAACATTATTTATTATTATATATTTATTAGAGTGTAATAATAATAAAAAAAATACTATAAATCTTTTAAATCAGTTAATTAAAGTAATTAAAAACTCAATAAAAACAATAATAAAATGAAAATATTTTAATTAACTAACTAAAATATTACTAATAATTTATATATTAAAAATAAAATAAAAATTCTTTATGTTGTAATAAAATTACAACATGAAAGGTTTGAGCCTTTCATCTAATTTATTCATGCCTGTTTCTATTATGATCTCTTTATTATAAAAAAAATAATACCCATCAAATAATGATAGATAGAGAAGATAGAGATAATGAATTTACCAGTGACATTTCAAACATGAATAAATTTATTAATAACGCTGATGATTGGAGTTACGACAATTTTAGTTAAATTTTTAATTATTTAAATAAAATTTTAATAAATTTGATTTTAAATTAAAAAAAATATTTTAAAATTATTGACAGCTAGTTAATTAAAAAAAATGATTTAATCAAAACTAAAATTAAATATAAAAATCAAAATATTTTAATAAATTTCGCATCAATCAAATAAAATATGATAAGAAAACGATTAATGTGTTAAGATATGATGTATTATTCCAACAAACAGAAAAAGAACTATATAACAGAAACAAATTAATAAAACAAATAAATATAAAAACTTACTAATATCATTAATTTATTATAAAAAATTACAAATTATTTTTTATTAAATTTTTAATCAAAACATGGACAGGAACGAAAAAATGAAAATTAACTTTAATAACTCTAGTTTCAAATCTACTACTAAAAATGAGAATAATAAAACTGAAGCAAACAATAAGTCCTTTACTGTTGATGAACTTCTTAATGGAGATTTAATGGATCCAATTACAGAGGATATTAGTATTTCTCAAGAAACTAATAATTCATTGCTTTCTCTCAGAATTTTAAACTTGTTAAAACTGATTTTAAAATCAGTAAGTTTTAGTTTTAAGCTTCTTTTAAGACAGTTTACAATTTTAAATATTTTGTTAATTAGTATTATCTGTTATTTAACTATGTTTAAGTCATCTAAAAATGAGATTTTTTATAATCTTAAACAAAATCTTGCTAGTTTAAACACGGTTAGTCGAATAGAAACATCTAATCCATTTAGATATGGAATGTGGTCAAAAAAGACTAAAAGTAAAGAAAATATGCTTTTGGACAATAATGATTGTGCTTCGTTAGTTATGAATAATAACACTTTTATCGAAATAGCTCTGGATGAGCCTAAGTATCTCCAATCCATTGCACTTTATCACTGTGTAAGTGGGAATGTTAAATCGGCTATTAAAAATTTCACTGTTACTGTTTTAGACAAATCAATCAATAAGGAAAGAAAATTTTGTTTTCAGTTTAAAAACAATGGTTTTCAAGAATTTGATTTAGGTTGCTATGCTGAGAATATTAGAGTTAATATTTTAAATAATTACGGTGAAGAATACGTGTCAATTTATAGAGTTTATATCTACGGAAGTTAGATAATAAAATTTATTAATTATATTACCAGTGTTTGTGGAAAATCATTAATCTTAGGTGTTGTTATTTGAATATTTAATATTTCAAATGATCCCATTGAGTTAATCTTCTCTTTCACTTCCTTTAAAATAGTTTCATACTCAGGCATTTTTATATGATCAGTAAGTATATTTAATATAATACAATTTTTTTCTAATCCTAATGACCAGCAATTAAAGCTTAATACTTTGATCACTTTATTTTGTGACATAATAAAGTTTCTTATTTCATCTAAATTAATGTTTTTAGGAGCACCTTCTACTAAAATATTTATAGCCTCTTTCAAAACACTGATTGTAGATCCAAACACTATTAAAGCAAATATGAAAGTACAAATTATATCAGCTAGTACTAAATGTGGATTAAAATAAATAATTAGAGAAGCAATTATTATTCCACAACTCTGCAAAATATCACCAATAACGTGAATGTATGCTGCTTTTATATTAAGATTTGCTCCACAATATGATGAATTAAAATGATAGTGATTACAAGCAGTTCTTTCAACAGCAGTTCTATCAGTAAAAAATTTTATACCTCCATTTAAAATAATTAAACAGAAGATATTAACAAAAAGTCCAATAACAGCAATTCCTAAGAATAATTTTCCATTTATCTCAGAAGGATGTAAGTAATTATGAATTGATTCTATAATTAAATAGATAACAGCTACCCATATTAACAATATAGAACAGATTGCACCAATTATTTCAACTCTTTGATAACCAAAAGTATATTTATCATTAGAATTTTTACTTGCTATTTTTAGAGTTACAAGACTAATTAGGAAACTAGAAAAATCAATTATTAAATGAAATGCATCTGCTAATAAACTCAAACTTTTAGTTTTAAAATGTCCCCATAACTCCAACACCATAAATAACCCAACAACACATGTCACTAACCTAATTCTATTAACATCGTTTTCTGTTACTGATTTAGTATTGTTCATATAAAATATTTGTTTAATTTAATTATATATTTAAGAGTGAAACAATTTTGAAACAAAATAATATTTAAAGGATTTTATTTATTTTTAGAGTATTTCTCTCTTAGCTTACTAAAATTAACATCAAAGTTCTTTCTCCAGTATTCAATTAACTGATTTGATATTAAACTATTCTCATCAAGAATATCTAAAACAGTTTTATTATTGTTTTCATAATGTAATCTAAAATTGTCCTCCATTCTCCTTAAACTAAATTTTATGAAAAATTTTAATTAAATAAGCTATCTTCATCAAATTTTGTTTCATCAACTTTACTTCTTTTAAACTCTTCACCTTCATCAGATTTAATATCTGAAATATTTTCTTTATAAAAATTAATTAGTTGTTTTACTGAAGTAGAATCTTCAATTTTTTTATCACTTCTTTCTCTAATAAATCTAGGAAATCTCAATGAAATACCCTTTCCATTAATATTCCCAGGTGTATAAATAGGACTGAGACTTAAAGAAGCTGATTTAACCTCCCAAACAACTTCAGGTTTAATCCAAACATCAGGAGTGACATTAGAAACAATATCTGTGTATTCTGCCGTTACTACTAACTTTTTATAAAAATCTAAAAGTTTTTCATCACTAAATCCAGTGCCTATTTTACAACAAGCTTCATATTTATTTATTTCTGTGTTATAAACACCCAATAAAAACCCACCATAAACATTTGTTCTTTTACCTTTCCCAAAATATGCACCTATTACAACCAAATCTAAAGAATCACCTAAATTGTCCAAATAGTCCTTTTTAAGCTTAATCCACTTATTTGATCTATGTGATGGTTTATAACAGGCATTTAAGTCTTTCAACATAACACCCTCACAATTATTTTCTAATGAAGTTTTAAAGAATTCTTCTACCTTTTCAATGTCATCAGTTTCAATACTTTTAGTAAAAATAAACTTTCCAGGTATTTCATTAAAATACTTTTGTAAAATTTCTCTTCTTTCATAAAGTGGTTTATCAACTAATTCTTCATCGTCATAATACAGAATATCAAACACAAAAACACAAACATCTACATCAATTACATCAACATTTTTTCTTTTTCGAGTAGATAAAAGTTGAAAAGGTTGAATTTTATCATCTTTAAAAGCTACAACTTCACAGTCAATAATGAATGATTTGTCGTTAATTTTTAAATTAGCAACATCTTTATACTTTATTGTAATATCTTCTAAATTTCTACTAAATAAGACAGTTTTGTCTGTTTGTGAATCTTTAGCTGATGAATGATGAATTTGTAACCTTTCACCGTCATACTTAAACTCAGTTAATAACTTATTGCTTTCAAATTTAGAAAAAGCAGATGTTGAGTGTTTAGTTGGTGTAGCAAGCATAGGCTTAACTGGAATACCAGCCTTAACTTTAGATTGTCCTTCAATACCTTCAGATCCAAATTGAATGATGATTTCAACTAATGATTTAAAATCTGGATTTTTATTATAAGCTGATTTAAGCACATCAGGGTCAACATCAATAGCCTGAGCTAAACCAATAAGAATTGTAGCCAATGCTAATCCAATTTTGAGTTTACCTTCTAGTAACCTTATTATATATTTTGTTTCTATTGGGTCAGCTAAATTAATATCAGACAATATTAAATCAATTTTATCCTTTCTTGATTTTTTTCCATCAATAAAACAAAGATTTCTTAAATGTTCAATTACTCTTTTAACAGTCAATTTTTCTTTGGCTACAAATAATTGATTAACTCTGTGATTCATTGCAATTTTACTGATATCACCTGTCTTTTTTAGTAATTCTTTAATTTTCTTTTTTGATAATCCTGTTGCCTGTATTACACACTGAATTATCATAAAATCACCAACTCCCATCTCTAAGTTATAATAATCACAAAATACTTTAGAATTACACAAGTAGAGAACATTAGCTAGTTCATTAGGATTAGTTTTTAATATTTTCTTATAAAACTCCATTAAATATTCTTGTATTTCTAGCCTACTTTTAGTGTTTTCTATTCTTTCAAATATGTTACATAAATCTATAAACCTCACTTCTTTACACTCATTAGTAGTGTCATTCTTTTGATTATGCATTTTAATTTTTATTTTAAAAAAATTATAAAATTAAAATGAAGAAACAAACATTAAGTCTTAATGAATGTAAGACATATTTTAATAACAAGTTAAAGAAATATAGTGGTAGATGCATTAACTTTATGATATCAGGAGGTTCTATTTGTAATGTTCTTTCAAATCTTTTAGAATTAAAAGAAAACAAAATTGATTCAAGTAAATGGAATATTTATTTTACTGATGAGAGAATTGATAAAGATAATACTAACTTTAAAACTGCTTATAACTTACTTTGTAAAATAAAACCACAAAAAATAAATCAAATGGCGATGGATTATAATAACCTAGAAGCTGAAAGACAAAGATATGAGGATTTGATTAAGAATGTTAATATAGATATTGCTATAATGGGAATTGGGTATAATGGACATATTTGTTCTATATGGCCAAATGATAAAAGTATTGAATCTGATAAGTATGTTCTTAATGTTGAAGTTAATGATGAGTTTACGAGAAGACAAACTATTACACCAAAATTTATCAATGAAAAGATAACAGAATTGATATTTTTTATACCTTTAAAAGATGGGAAACGAAAGGAATTTAGTGAACCTGATAAGTCTATAAAAGATAAATTGAATATTGAATATGAAATTATTTTACAAAAGTTAAAATAAATAAATCATTGTGTTATAGTTATTTAATTGTAAATTATTATCTCTTTATTATTCATATTTGATGGTAAAATTTTTTATAAAAATTTATAACCATGAGAATTTCTCAAATCTATTTCTTAAAAGGCATCTTTATATCGAATTGATTTTATTAAAATTATAATTATAATATGATAACAAGTAAAAAAAGTATATTTATTAATAAAATTCTTAACTATTTTTAAAATAATTTGATTAAAAATAACAATTAAGATTTTTTTACAAAAATTTTTTAACCCCTAAATGTCAGCATTAGCAAACGCTTGTAAAGCTATAAATAACGCAAATAAGGCCAGAAAGAGTCAAGTATGTATAATGAATACTAGTAAAGAATTAAAAGATTTTTTGATAGAAATGAAGAAGCATGGATATGTTAGTAAACTTGTTTTTATTCAAAGTTGTAATAAAGAAAAAGCAGTTATTCGTTTGAATGGAAGACTTAATAAATGTGGAGCTATTTTACCAAGATCCAGCTATAAATGTGATCAGATCCAAGCAGTATCTAACAGATTGAAACCAGCAAGACAATTTGGACATGTTTTATTTAAGACATGTAAAGGTGTAGTTGATCAAAATGAAGCCAATGAAATGAGAACTGGTGGTAAAATTTTAGGATTCTTTTACTAAATAAATTGTGATTCAATTTTTAAACTCCTTTTTATTAGAAAAGATTTAAAAAATAACAACCCATATAAACAATCATAATGAGAACGATAATTTTTCAATTAGCAAATTACAACTTATTTATAAACATTCATCAATTAATGTTTGAAACTTCATCAACGTTGTTTAAAGATTTGCTTCCAACAAATAAAAAGATAATTTCCTCATCAACTAACACAAATATACAAATCTTTAAAAATAGCAAATTAAATCAAAATATTAACTATTTAAATGATAATATTAATCTTTTTGATGAAACAAATGAAAATATCTCAAATGATTTAAGAAACATAACTAGAAACTATCTTGGTAACGGAATAATTCTACTCATATTAATTTTATTTTGTAGAGTTGATGTGGGGAGTTTAATAAATTAATAAACAGATTTATTGACTTTCTTCAGAATCAAGAATTACTCCTGAAATATCAGATGATTCTTCTTCCTTATTAAATGATTCATCTTCATATCCATCTTCTCCTGCAACTACCATCTTAATGTGATGTTCTTCACAGAAATCTTCTAACTCACCAAATCTGTCTCTATTTAAATGGGTGAAAAAGTATGCTTTATCAGCACTAATTGTAATATCAAATGTCTTAAGTTGTCCTGAGTTTAATGTCAATCTTTGAATTTCAATACACTGAATTGTATTTAATGGAATTGAGATTGGTTTAGGTACAAATTGAAAGAATCCACTTGTTACAAACAAATGTCCTAAATTGACTTTGTTATTACAATCAAAGTATACTTCACAATTCTTATAAGGTTTACCAGAAATTTTTGTTAAAATCTCTAAAATCACATCACACTGTTCACCACTGTTATAATCTTTCAATTTAGGATGTTTAGCTGCTATTTGAACATCATCAGTTGTTAGGGCAAACACAATATCTTCATATTTAGTTTGTCCTTGTAAGATTGGTGATGACAACTTTATCACTAAATACTTATCTTTGACTTTTGATAAACATAGAATATCAGTGATGTTATCATAGAATATTTTGTGATCATAAGAAGAACCTTTAAACTCAAAGTAGTTGTCATAGAACATAAGATTGGCTTTTGTTCTTGGATATACGCATGCTAATGATTCTGCTATACATGCTTCTTTAGATAACTTATTCTGTAAGCTTTCAGTTACTTTGCTTGTTGTTGCAAATGTTAACTCTGTTCCTTCATCTAATGTAAACACCACATCATTATGAAGTTCAGCAACTTTAACAATGTTTGATGTTGGAACTGAGAAAATAAGCTTATCTTGAGTTACACATGCTAATGAGTTGTTAGATATAATCAAATTACCATCAGTGGTGCAGAGTGTTTCTTGTGTTATTGATGTTATTTCTAATCCAAAGTTATTATTAAACTCTCTTCTGATTTTATTAACATCATTTTCACTTATATTTAAGACATCTAATACTTTGCCATCTGCTGAACATATCCTCAGACAATAATTTTTGATTGATTTAAAGACTTCTAATGTTCTGAATTCATTCTTTTGTATTGTTAATGTAAAATCTTCTAACTTTAATAACAGGTATTCATTCCCAAACTCCATTAATCCTGTTTTGTTATTAACTACTATTTGGTCTATAATAAGATTGCTCATTAAGGGTTAAAAAATAATTTAAAAAATGAACAATTCTTTTTTTAAAAAGAAAAACCAGTATAGGAATAATCCTTAAATAGTTGGTTGTAACTTGATTTTACAAAAGGTTTACCTAAAATGATCTTATTATAACTTACACATCATCTAATATTAATATTTAGAAATCATGGTTTTATATTTAACATAATCTAAAAGGACCTCAAATACTGTTTATAAAAAAACATATATTTACAATGACTTAATGAATCTTTTGTTACTGAGAAATTAGATTTCATAGATATTTAGGATCAAGTCTGAAATTTT